TGTTACATTATTTTGTTTTATATTAAGCTTTTCATACACATAGTTCCTGAAGCTGCATTATGAAGTACTGTATGAAAATGATTGTGAAGCTATTATGCACCTTTCAATAGTGGACTCAGAGCATTAGACACGAACAGCTATCATTATAGAAAAAACAGAAAGCCTTGAAACTGGAGTGTTAATATCTTTCTGCTGTTCCTAAATTCCAACTGATTTAAAACTTTTTAAAAATTAGTGATCTGAGTCATGCTAAGGTGTCACATCTAAAGCAAGGTGGGGGAAAAAAGAATATCTAACTGAACCCTAGCAGAGCACCAGAGAATTGACATCTGAAAATACCATAACACCTGAAGCAGATTTAACTGAATATATATGTATATGTTTTGTGTCTCCTGATATGTTAGGGGGTAGAGAACAGTTGTTAAGAGATACTTTTCAAAAGAGGGAAGTGAGCAACAATTTATTCTATCTGATGGGAGTCTGGCTCAGTAGGGACCCACAGTGAACTGAGGACACACAATTCAAATCTTAAGACTATCCTCCCATGGATGTAGGATACATTCCCCTACTAGGTAAAGGACAGTTAGAAAAAAAAAACATCCAAAGGAGAGAACGTATCCCTGTTGTGAAAAAAGAACATAGTAGTCCTGACATGGCTCTCTTCAGTCTGCTTACCAGGTTGGCCCTTAGCTAGTCTCTGGAAACTAGGACGTTTGGAGAATTTGCCCACAATATTTGGAAGAATAAACAGGTTTTATTATTTTAATCAAGAAAGAAAAAAAAAAGCCCTAACCGGTTTGGCTCAGTGGATAGAGCGTCGGCCTACGGACTGAAGGGTCCCAGGTTTGATCCCCAGTAGGAGGTGTGCAGGAGGCAGCTGATCAATGTTTCTCTCTCATCAGTGTTTCTAACTCTCTATCCCTCTCCCTTCCTCTCTGTAAAAACTCAATAAAATATATTTTTTAAAAAGAAAGAAAAAAGTAACACATTCTATTTTGAATGTGTATTTAAGTTTTTCACTCCTTGATCTGATTTTATTTCCCCTCCCTTTAAGTGGCTGAGGCAGGACCAACTTGTAAGGGTCCTCAAAATAGCCAGACAGTCAGATGGAGAATCAAGTCCATCAATTATTGACAAGTAGGCACTAGTCTCTTTATTTCAAAGGGCCAGCACTGTTGTTTAAACATTATCTAATCTACTTGCAGCTTACAAAGTTTAATTTCTACAAAAAGCAAGGAGGCAATTGCTATGGACTGAACAATGCATATTGGCAGAAAGATGTCATTAGGATTTACTTCCTTCCATCTCCTGTTCAATTGCTCTGTGAAAGGCAGTGGGTTTCTCTTGTCTTCTTCAATTTAGATTTATGGAATTTCTGAATCTCAGCAATATCTTGTTTGTCATATATTTTGGCAGATCAAGTAGTAATGAGATACACGAAAGAAAGTCAGATTTCCACAGTGGTTACTCTACCTTAACTTCTGACATTTCCATCTCCCATTGCAGCCTCATCTGATATTGCACTAACCTTATTATCCTTCTCCTTGAACCCTGATGAATTCCTCTTACCCCTCCTTAACTACACCTGTCCTCAGTATTCAGCCTTTGGCAATTCTCCTGCTATGAGACTCTGTAGGTCATTTTCTATCACTGAACTTATACTGCTATTTCCCCAGCTTTCAACTTTACTCAAGGTCTTTATCTCCAATGGTCTATGACAATTTATTTGTATTTGGAGCTACAGCCTTTAATGAAATATGTCCAATACCTAATCCATCACCTCCTAAAAGCAGAAATTTCTTTCCTTTTCTTCTTCTAATACATACATAAATATTTTGATAATACTTAATCCGAAATAATTTTGTCTCCACTATCAATGTACCCTTTGTAATCACTTATCATGAAGCCATATAAATAGTTTATTAGCTGTCTCTTATTTACCATTCCCTTCACTAATGTGCTAGCAAAGATTGAGAGCACATGAGCCCAGAATTACAATACAACCTTTCAATTCAGAGTCTCTCAAAGTGTGGTTCAGCTACTGTTGCAGCTGAATCATTTCAGGAGCTTGCTAAAATACAGATGCTCATATGAACCCTAACCTTCAGAATTATAAATTATCTCTCCACCTCCTATCTCCACGCCAATCCAAATTACACTGCAACTGTCTACACGTGGTTTTCATTGGGATACACCTCTATTTGAGGACTACCACTTTGTATTTCATATATTTGCATGCATTTGAGAGTATAAAGTTAAACTTAAGAATCAGAACTCCCTCACATTTTAGAAAAGGAAATTAAGATCCAGAGATATTTTCAAGCCATGCAGAAAAGAGTTAAGATTGAAAGCCTGACTACTATCTTTTGAACGCACTGCTTGTAAGATGCCTCTAGATGATGTCTAGGAACTTTGGTTTAGACCGCGTTTCCACCATTCCCAGGCCTGATAAGAGTTGCTTGATGTGCCAAAACTGTTTTTACAAACAATATGGTTTAAATTAAACACCTGCTGCCCTAGCTGGTTTGGCTCAGTGGATAGAGTATTGGTCTGTGGACTGAAGGGTCCCAGGTTTGATTCCAGTCAGGGGCACATGCCCAGGTTGTGGGCTTGACCTCCAGTGTGGGATGCTCAGGAAGCAACCAATCAATGATTCTCTATCATCATTGATGTTTCTGTCACTCTCTCCCTCTCCCTTTATCTCTGAAATCAGTAAAAATATATTTTTTAAAAAATAAAAATAAATAAAGTAAACACCTTCTTTCCTCCTGGGATTCTGGGATTTGGGTAAATGTCAAACAAAGGATGCTATGTGACCATCCCCCAGTAAAACCACCAAGCACTTACTGTCTAAGAAGATTCCCTGGTTGACAACATTTTGCATGTGTTGTGACAACTTATTATCAAGGGAATTAAGCACATCCTGAGTGACTCCACTGGGAGAGGACTCGTGGAAGCTTGCACCTGGTTTCCCTTGAACTTTGCTCCATGTATCTTTTCCCTTTGCTGCTTATGATTGGTATACTTTCACTGTAATAAATCATAGCCATGGGTATGATCACATTTTGAGTGCTGTGAATCCTACCGGTGAATCATCAAACATGGTGGTGGTCTTGGGGACCTCATGACACAGAAGCAAATGATTTTCATAATGTATTTCACTGACCCTCTCATGGGATGTTTAGAAGAGGCAGTACTCAAAACAGCATAGCCTTAAAAACACAGCATGCTTTAACTGCTGACTTAGCTGCTAAGTCTGAATCATGGTTTCATTGTCTATAAAATTGGGCCAATAATTACTTTATAAGGTTTTTACAAAGATTTAGAGATAATAGTACAAGAGGTCTATGGTATATACCCTTTAAGGAGGAGTTATTATTTGCATTCATAGTCTTTTGGATAAGATGGAAGGATAAGAAGGAATTCTATGGTTCAAATTTTATGTATCCATATATCCACATAGTAATGGATCTAATTACATATGTAGACTAAAAGGTCCCAAACATGTTGGAACTTGTAAGCAGATTGGTTTTTCTCAGGATCTGTGTAGAACATCTCTGACTAAAAACTTGTTATGGGAATTGTGTACAGAGCAAACACACACACAAAAAAACATGTTTATATTCATCCTCATCTTTCAACCCATGCTTGGCTACTTGTCTCTTGTTTTGGGGGTCCTGCCCACTCCACTGATTTCTGGGCCCTGACCTCTTTCTGGCTGCCAATCTGGACTCCTTAACTATTTATTGGATGCTCAGCTGTTCCTACAACTGTACCCTTTTCAAACCACTCGTTCACACATGACTGATTTACCATCAGTCACTTGGTCTTATATGGAAGATCCCCACTGAAACTCTATCTTGGCTGTGACCCTGGCTTCATCTCTTGACCAGCTTGTTATATTTGCTCTTGAATAAAGTATATTTCATTTTTGTGAAAGGAGAATTATTGGGCAAATATAATCCCAGTCAGTGGCAGCATGTTTGAAAGAAAACCTCATTTGTGTTTATTTATTCTTTTTGTTCAACACTTCTTAATACTAACATTGTCTCATCTGAAATAATGTAACAGAAAGATTTAAAGTTGATTTATTTCAAATCTCTTCAGCTACCATAAAAAGGAGGCAGTGTCTGCAAGGAGTTGCTTTATGGCACATCGTTTTCAGAAAAACAAAACAAAACATTAATCTTCCATATCAAGGTTAAAAATATCTAAACAAAGACATTTGCTCTGTATTTCTCAACCAGACATGATATAATGTTGAGTACTGCATGGGGAATCAGTGGCCCCTATGTTTCAATCTTCAGTATAGTTTCTACAAGCCTTTCCCCACCTCTATTTCATCTGGGTAGGGGTGAGCTGCTAGAAATTGTCAATATTATGTGAGTAGAAGTGATTGTTCCACTTCCCTGCTAAGGTGGCTTTGAAGCAAGTATCTGGTCTCCATGCTTTCTTCCCCTAGCTCCTGGCTGGATGTTGACATCCAGGGTGACCTTAGAGGCCACATGTTGAAGATTGTAGAGCCACTCTCATTCAGAGTCTCTCAATAGCCACATACATAATTATCCCTTTCCTCTTACCAATCAGGAACATCCACACTATGTGAAGCCATTGAGATTTTGAGATTTTGTATTTATAGTAGTTAGTATGACCCTAATTAATTTGATTCACATCTTTATGTGAATCTCTTTGGGTTGTTATAAGGATTAAATGAGTTAGACCAATGCTGACACATAATAAATGCTCAATAAATATTTGCTATTAATATTAATATGTGCTTTAATGCTAAGTAGATATGAGTCATTGAATGTGTCCATTTCCCAGGACCTCAATTTCTTCAATTGTAAAATGTAAGGGTCATGCTTGATGATTCCTAACTTTCCCTAAATTTGAAATTGTATGATCGGTACAGAGGACACTGAGAGAGAAAAGCATGTTTTCTTTTTGAAATGTATCCATTAATTTTGAAATAATATTTGAAGCTAAGAAGATTTACAAACCGGGCTGTGTCCGTGAGACTTTCATTCACACCCAAGTGAATGTCTTGTGTGGTAAGAAAACAAGGGTGTCCTCCCAAAAGTGCAAAGCCTACAATAAAAGAGAAAAAAATGCATTTTGAAAAAAAAGAACTAAAGTGGGAAACACAATTATTAAGTACTGTCACCATCTCAATTGAAAAGTAAAAATCTTTAAAGCTCTCCAACCTCTCTAGTAGGGAATTCCCAAGCAAAACAAAATAAGGAACCTAGGGAAATTTCGGTATAAGCACTGACCTCTCCTTCAGATGTATGCCTGTTTTTCCATTCTCTTGTGCAAAACCTGGGCAGATCAGATATGCTATGTCCCAGGTAGAATCATAGAACACAAAACATACTAATAGTTCTACTTGCTAAGGATTCTGTAATAGAGTCTAACTCCATTTGTGATGTTTCACTGCTACCAGCTTTCAGGCCCAGCATCACTTTCCATTGGAGGGTTAGAGCAGAGGAGTTACATAATTGGACTTACGTTACAAAACTTTGGGTGAGAGTTAATAGATTGGACCAGGCAGGTAGTGGCTGAAATGATGAGAAAGTAATTGGGTTCTTGATATATTTTGAAAGTAAAGCCAGCAATAAGAGAACTTCTAGATTCTTCCACCACCCCATTATCCCACTTGCTAGCATCTGTACCCACATATTCTGTTTTCCTTCAGAAAACATACATGTATGCACAAGAAGCCATACCCCTTGCCTACTCAAGCATGTTACTCTTCCATTTCTCCCTTACATTACCTACATCTCATTTTATCACTCAATGAAAACAAATGCAAATGTTGTCTTGTCCTTATTTCCCCTACTAGATATCTCTTTAATTCTTTGCTCCCTTTACAGCAAAAGTCTGTTTTTTCTTTCTCTCTTTGGTTCTTCTTTTCTGATTTTCTTCAAACCTATTCCCATAAGGCTTTGGTCTCCCAACACTGCACCAAAGCTTCTCTCACCAAAGTCACCAATTACCTTCACATTGCTAATCTAGTGGACATTTCTCTCTTGCCATAGCAGCATTTAACAAAATTGTTCACCACCCTGTCCTTGATAAAATTTCTTGCCACACTCTCTAGGATACCACACCATCTTCCTTTTATATCTACTTGGTCATTGGTCCTTCTCAGTTTCCATTTTCTTTTCCCTGACCTCTTCCTTATACACAAACTTTAGAGTCATCCTTAATGTCCCTCTCTTACCCAATACATCAGGAATCTTGTTGACTCTCCCTTCAATACATACCCAGAATCTATATATCTTACTCCCTCCATTGTTACCACCCTGCCCCAACTTCTATGTACTACAGTTACATATTAACATGTTTCACTGTTTCTATCTTGCCTCCATCCCCACCCCAACACTCTATTCTCAATAGAGATTCTTTTAAAATGCGTGTTAGATCATGTCCCTCCTTCATTCAAAACCATCCAAAGTTTTCCCGTTTTACTCAGAGTAAAGCCAAAATCCAAATAATGGAATACATGTTTTTCTCCCAGTTCCAGGCACATTTTTCTCCTTTCTGAGAGCATTTATCACCTTCCACTGATATTGTATTATCATTCACTTATTGATTGTCTATTATTTATTGTTTGTGTACCCACATGGAGGCAGGGGTTTTCCTTTATTTTGTTCACTGATGTATCACTCTCAAGAATCTAGAATAAATAGTAGTACATAGTAATTGCTCAACAAATACTTGTTGAATGGATTTAGGAGGGATTTTGACTCTGGAAAGAGGACCCATTCTTTTCACTTGCAAACATCTAATTTTGTTAACAGAAAGAACAGAATGTTCTATTATGTGTGAAGTGAAGTAATGGAATTTAGGCACCAAAATAAATATGAATACTGAAAATTCATCTAGAAAGTATTTATTGTGTTTCTACTATATGCCTAGCATGGGGATGATTGTAATTGAAGATTGAGGACTATGGAGGAACATTTCACACAAAGTTTAAGACCTCCAGGCAGG